GCATAGCTCAACTAGAAAGCATTGAATTGTGTGCTTACAATGTGAGAATTTTATGGTATGTCAATTATATCTCAATAAGCTGTTAAAAAGTGTTACAATTATCTGAGAAGATAATACGTTTGAATAGAAAACCATCAGATGTTTGACAGAGCAGAAAATTTGTCTATTACCTCTCAGCCTCAGACTACATCCTTAAGCATGTTCAACCTCACCTACTTAACAATGAGTGTAGGTTAGTTATCAGAATCATCAGAAGGTAGTTTTTAAAGGGCCTTTACATAATAAATCTTCATTATTCCTAGAAAAGTTATGCTTATGATAAAAGCATCTATTGCTGATGAATCACAAATGGCATCTTAATTTGTGAAAGGCAGTTTATTCATCTGTTGATTATGTTTCTCCAACTAGATACATGCCCAGATGGAATCTAAGATGCTTAGGATTCTACACGAGGAAACTGGGACCTAAAGGTCAAATAATTCTTTAGTGGCAGAGTCAGGATTGGAATCAAGATCCTCTTCTTAACAGACTATAGTGTTCAACATCACACTAAATAAGTAAATCCTTACTTCTTTATCCTTTGAAGACACACTGAACCATAACCTCCTCAGCACTTTGGGGGTTTCTCAATGTCAATGAAAAGAAATTACTTGCTGAGGAGAATCACAAAATATTAAAGCAAAAAAGAATCTTGGAGGTTGTATATTTCAAGCTTCCTGGCTTTCTCTCTCTAGCTCCAGCTAGGTTCTTTCTACCACATCCCTAACAGATATTCATCAAGTATTTGAAAAGTTCTGGCACGGTGTGATGGCTCACGCTTATAATCCCAGCACTTTGGGAAGTGGAGGTGAGAGGATTGCCTGAGCTCAGGGGTTTAAGACCAGCTGGGTAACATGGCAAGAACTCATCTCTACAAAAAATAAAAAAAATCAGCTGGGTGGTGGTGTGTGCCTATAGTTCTGGCTGCTTGGAAGGCCGAGGCAGAAGGATCGCCTGAGCCCTGCAGGCCGTGAGCATGCTACTGCACTCCAGCCTGGGTGACAGAGCAAGACTCCAATTAAAAAAAAAAGTTTTGGGCATGCCGTGACACCGTAGCTGACTATCAAGTAGCCTGGTCCCTATCCTCTTCCTTGGTGACAGAACCCATCTTAATCCTTGGAATCTGAAAATGTTACATATTTACTTTCTTAGGCTTGCTTTTGGCTAGTGCATAATCATGTAATTAAATTCTGGCCAATGGCACATTAAAGAATTCTTCAAGAGGGTGGGGCTTCTGGAAAAACTTTTCCTTCATACTTGAGAGAGAATGAGAGTGAGAGAGAATATCATTTTCCTTCTCGCCCTTGGGCCTTGTGTGAAGATGTGATTCTTGTAACTTCTGTTGACATCTTACAACCATTGTGGTTGACACCTTCAACACCATGAAGACAGTGGACTGGCAAGATGGAAGGACTCAAAGTCCTCGATGAGGTCATTGAGCCAGGTGGGAAAGTTGTCAGAATCAAAATGTAGTCACTCTTGTTAAAAACCAAACCAAACCAAAAACAACCCTGACAGAGCAGGAAAAGGCCATGAAGAAAAGGGTTCTCATGAATAATAACCTGGTCACAAAAACCATCACAAAAGACTGCAGACATACGAGGATAATTGACATGTAAAGCTTTGCACATGTCCAGTCAAATTTTGAACAGCTTTCCTGAGATACATTAACCTATTTAAAGATGTTCCATATAGTCCCAGGATTGGGCAACCATCACCCTAGTCCCTATTATATTCCATAATTTTATTTTAAATTTATTTTTTTAAATGCCTTAATTCTGCCATTCATATTTCTTATTCCCACTAGTGTGTGTGTGCACTCTCTTTCCCTCTGCTCTTATAAAATGGCACAAGACAGGATTCAAAACACTGCCAGGTGGCTACAGGTTGTGGCAACTCCATTCAACAACCCCCCCCCACCCTTAAAAAAAAGATAGAATCTATCAAATAAGCTATAAAACCAACTGAACTATAATATCAACCAGTGCCGACCCTGGCAGCATGAGGAATACAGTAAGAACAGTGTTCTGCCTGTCCCATCCAGCAAGTGATCCCAGAAGAGGATACATTCTGACTGGCATACTTGTTCTAAATGCATCCATTGGCCAGACATGGTGGTTCACACTTGTAATCCCAGCACTTTGGGAGGTTGTGGCCAGAAGTTTGAGATCAGCTTGGGCAACATAACAAGACCCCTGTGCCTACAAAAGGGAATAAAATTAGCTGGGTGTTTTGGTGTGTGCCTGTAGTTCCAGTTACTCGGGAGGCTGAGGTGAGAGAATGCTTAAGACCAGTAGTTTGAGGCTGCAATGAGTTGTTATTATACCACTACACCACTGCACTCTAGCTTGGGTGACAGAGCGAGACCCCGTCTCAAAAACAAAAAAACAAAAAACACTCATCCTATTTTTTTCTAAGAGTTGAAAATTGGCTAATGACTGCTACAAAAATCTCCTGTCCTGCAATTTCAGCACCCCCCCTTTTTTTTAAAGAGCAGGATAAGGTTTGTTCATTGCCATCTGTTTGTAAGCAGAGTTGTTTTATTTGCTGCTCTGATGTTTTCTGTAACATAGTAGGCCCTTAGCATAAATATTTGTTGAGTGAATGAATGAATGTCTTCAACAAAGACTTCTGATTGTGATTTCATAACTGCTTTTCTTAATTATTTTGGCAATAGCTAGGAAAACTTATCAATGACTAACTGTTACCTGCCCATCAGCCCTTAACTTAAGTCTTACTTCCTGCAGGAAGCCTTTCACCAGGTTGGGGTCTTCTGATTTCTGCATTCTTTCATATGACTCTTACAACTAATAAAAGCTGCACTGGGGAAGACTCCATGATTATTTACTGTGTTCGCCTTTGTGTCTTCAATTCCAAGTTTTCTAAGTTCAGTGCCCAGCACACAGTAGGTTCTTAATCATAATTTGTTGAGTGAAGCTGGGCAGGGTGGCTCATACTTGTAATCCCAACATTTTGGGAGGCTGAGGCGGGGGTGGGGGGATCACCTGAGACCAGGAGGTCAAGGCTGCAGTGAGCCATGGTCATGCCACTGCATACCAGCTTGGGCAACAGAGTGAGACCCTGACTCAAAACAAAACAAAACAGAATATTTGTTGAATGAATGTCTAAATGAAGCAAATTGGGAATGTAATTTGCCTTTCTCTAAAGGCAAGAACACATTCAACATAACCTATAACCTATCTTGAACGTTATGACTTTTCTTAAAAACAACTTTATTGAGGTACAACTTACATGCCCTAAAATTTACCTACTCTCTTATTTTACCCTAAAATTCACCTTCTCTCTTATCTTTTGCATGAAGGTCATTTTCTGAAGGTGAAATAGAAGTAAAATGTTGTGAAATCTTAGACAGATAATGGGGGTTTGGAGCCCAATTACCCAGGATATACCTCTTGGTTTTACTTTGCAATTGTGACCTTAAGCAGATGAACTTCTCTAAGCCTTCCGAGCTGTCAGAGTTTCTCCACTGGATGCTCTGAGGATTAAATGAGATGGCACAGGCAAAGGGTCCCCAGCAGAAGAGATGACTCAGAAAATGTAGGTTCCCTCACTTCCCTCTGTCACCTGCCAACCTCGGACTTCCGAAGCAGCACATCTGCCCTTTCACTATTATTTTATTCTGAGCATATTTATTTTATTTTATTTTATTTTATTTTATAAAGCAGGATTTATTAAGAGGACAGGAAAGCTCCCACAGTGGGAGGGAACCCGAAGGGGTTGCCCTTTGAGTATATATTTCTAAAATACTCAACAGTCTTGTTTCCACGGTATCCTTTGTACTTTTGCAAGTCCCACTTCATTTTACAGCTTAGCATTCCTGGCACTATTCTTACAGATTTTGGTCCCCTCCCCCCCCCTTTTTTTAGCTGGAGTCTCAAACTGTTACAAAGGCTGGAGTGCAGTGACACAATCACAGTCTCCACTTGATGGATGATCCTTCCCCCTCAGCCTTTCAAGTAGCTGGAACCACAGGTGCGTACACCACGCCCAGATGATTTTTTGATTTATTGTAAAGATGAGGTCTCGCCATGTTGCCCAGGCAGTTCTTGAACCCGTGGGCTCATGCAATCCTCTCACCTCCGCCTCCCAAAGTGGTTGGTATTACAGGCGTGAGCTACCGTGCCTGGCAAGTCCTTTTTATTCATTTTTCAGGGCATGCCTTTTCTTTCCATCTTTTGAACATATTCGTTTAAAAAACCCAAAAAAACAAAACCCACCGAAGATCACCAGAGAACAGTGGTTTCTTCACTTCTCTTTCTTCTTCATGGGGGACTATTCTGTTGTGAGCTCAATATTTTATTTTTCAAAGCCTGTTTTTTAAAAAACAAACAAAAAACAAAAAACCTGCTTTTCCTTTAGTAGCCTGCCATCTCCAAATCATACCTATCTCTTGCCGGATCCGTTTCCTCAAGTCTCCTGTCGCCTGCCTTGTCGCTGTCTTGTGTTACCGCCACATCCCCAGGTCTCTACCGCCTCCCAGGAACAGCCAATTCTTCCAGGGAGTGACATTACATCAGCATTGCTAATGCAATATCTGCTGTCTACCAGGTTATGTCTTATTCTAGGCAGTCGGTTAAGAACGCGCCTCGGTACCGATTTGATTTAACATGGAGGATGAACTGACTAAGGTCAAAGGCATCCGGGGGTCCTACATTTAGATGCATATGGAATATGTATGTACCTGTTGAATTTGTGCTTTTTCTCAGTGCTTTAGAGACCCGGGCTTTGGGTTGGTTGGTGCGGTAGAAAGGATGGGCTTCCAGAAACTTCGCCCCAAATTAAAGACTATGGAGTGCTCCACACTCAGGGACAACCCACCAACAAAACCCACCTCCACCACCAGATTATCTCACCGTCTGCCAGGACTGGGGGCCCGGCCGTACCACTGCGCGCCGCGCGGGGGGGTTGGTACCCACTCGGCCGCGCCCGGCCGCTTCCCCCGCGCTTGGTCGTGCCCCTGCTCCCCCCGCGCAGGCATCCACAGTGCGTCCGGCCGGCGCTTTATATAGTGGCAGCCTGGGCGGCTCCGCTCGCTGTTTTTCGCCTTCTCCGGGTCGAGGCTCGGCGTCGCGGTCGCGAAGATGCAGCTCAAGCCGATGGAGATCAACCCCGAGGTGGGCGCCGGGGGCTCCGTGGCCTGGAGAGCGCGAGGCCGAGGGCCAGTCCGCGCCGGGGAGCCGCGTCGCTGACGGGTCTTTTCTTGTTTTCTTTGCATTTGCCTTCCAGATGCTGAACAAAGTGAGTGGCGTGTCGCCGCGCTGTCCCCTCCCCGGGAGCGCCCAGGCGGGGACCGAGCTCCGGAGCGTGAGGGCTGGGGCGCGGGCCGGGCGCCCTCCCCGAGCCCCCTCCCCGAGCCCCCTCCCCG